TTCATTAGAGTTTCTTGTGGTTTCATGCCTATGGGATCCCCAAAACCAAACTTCAGCTGAGGCCTGTGAAATCCAAATTGCTTTTTAAATTAACTGGCAGGAACCTGGAATGCGTTTGCCTCCAATTTGGTTAATAGGAACCAGATGCAAAGCTCCCAATAAGCGTCCATTGCCTCGTGGTCTGGTATCCATCTGTCCATTTGCTCTCCAAGCTGGAAGTATTTGGTTCCTCTGCATCTTTTGTTGGTTCATACCTTGCATACATTTGTAACTGCCTATGATATGCTCTTTCTAGGTAGTAAAAATGAGCTTGCAAACATTAACGTGGGATGCAAGAAATGTCTCCTTACTCTTCCAAAATCAAAGGAATCTGAGTCAAAGTCCCCAGTGCACTGCTGGTGGAAAATCAATCTCCCTCCTCATAGAAACCTCCCCCGGCGCTCTACGCGCTCTACGCGCCACACACTCATCCTGGGGCTAATGCTGAGCAGACCAGTCTTAGGAATCCTGCTCGTCAGAACACACCACTCACTGCTCGCGGAGGCGCATGGCATTCCCTGAAGGCTGGTGAGGCACCTGGCCACCCCCTCAGGGTTTCTCCCACAGCGCCTGGGCTTCCCCTGCTGGGTCAGAGCTTCTGCCTTGGACCCAAGAGCCCTTCCTCCTTCCTCCTCCCTCCTCTGTGCCTACAGTCTCCTTCCTGGGAAAGCTTGTCTCAAAATGTCCCAAACAGTGTTGCTTCAAACACACACACAAATACACACACACACACACACACACACACATACACACACACACACCACAGACAGACACACACACCACAGACACACACACACCACAGGCACACATACACACCCTCCACACAGATGCACACACACTCACACACATACACACACACACCAGGAAATCAGAGCATCTTTACAACTCATTTCTGTCCTGAGAATGGCCCTGAGACAAGGTCTTTAGGGGACAGAAGAGGAAAAATGTAGGCCGAAAGCAAAAATTATACCTTAATAAATGAACTAGCCATGTTAGCAGAGTCTTCTTTTCTCATTACTATTGCAAATTTGCTCCTTATGCAATGCATCTAGCTTTGGTTAATACTAAAACACCCAGTGGTTGGTACTATTGGTATATTAACCTTGGAAAAGTGAGTTAATCCCTGTAGGTCTCAGTTTCTTACCACAAACTGGGGCTAAATTGTAGGTCACCTCATAACAATGACAATGAGAGTCAAAGGAAGCAATTCAGGGAAGGTACAGGATCTGTGCCTGACCCAGTGTGTGCTCAGTGACTTCTGTGCTGAGTCATTCCCTCACACTGTGGAGAACACCTTCCTCTGGTGGACCTTCTTTATTCAGTCTGTCCCTGCTTGGGGGAAGGCAGTTGTCCCACCCTATTGGAAAACCTCTTTTCCCACCCTGTGGAGTTTCTGAAGCCCAATAAGAGACTGAGAATAACAATCAGCCTGCAGAAAGAAGCAATTGCCCCACTCTGTTGGAAAACCACTACCCCACTCTGTGATCGATAGCCTGAGGTTAATCAAGACTGAATACAATCAGACTGCAGGCAGAGGCGGGTATCTGGAGGCTTTGAGTCTGCCTGATCTAATTTGGGGCCCAGGGCTAGAAAAAGTAGAGCTTGGTGGACATCTTGGTCCTTTCCAAACGCACCCAGTCCCAGCAGAGGGAGCCACAAGCTGTGGATTGCTGATAGCTCCAAACAGGGTACTCAGAAACAGCATCTGACACTGTCCTGCACTAGAGGTTGGGAGTCATAGCACATCTACCTAATACACAAATCCAAACAGGTAGCCAAAATGGGGAGACAAAAAAAAAGCCCCAAAAGAAAGAAAAAGAGAATTTTCCAGAAGAAGACCTAAATGAAATGTAGATAAGAAATGTATCATAGCCGAAACCGGTTTGGCTCAGTGGATGGAGCGTCGGCCTGCGGACTGAAGGGTCTCGGGTTCGATTCCGGTCAAGGGCATGTGCCTGGGGTTGCGGGCACGTCCCCGGTGGGGGGTGTGCAGGAGGCAGCTGGTCGATGTTTCTCTCTCATCAATGTTTCTGGCTCTCTGCCTCTCTCCCTTTCTCTCTGTGGAAAATCAATAAAATATATTAAATAAAAAAAAAGAAATGTATCATACACAGAGTTCAGAATAATGATGGCAAAGATGCTCAACAGCATGAGAAAAGATATAATAACCATGAAGAGTGACATAGCACTAATAAAGCACACATTGGAAGGAATACACAGCACATTAGGGCAATCCAAGGATCTGATCAGTGAATTAGAAGACAGGGTAGAAAAAAAATCACTCAATCATGAAACCAAAAAGAAAAAGCAATTAAAAAAACAGAAGGACAGTTCAAGGGAGCTGTGGGAAAACATGAAACATTGCAATATTCACAACATTAAAAAAGTGCCAAAAGGGAAAGAAAGTGAGCAAGGGATAGAGAAGCTATTTGGAGATAATTGTAGAAAACTTCCCTTACCTGGTGAAGGAAAAAGTCACACAAATTCAGGAGGCACAGAGAGTCCCAAGCAAAAAGAACCCAAACAGGTTCACACCCAGACATATAATAATTAAAATATTCAACATTATGGAACTGGAGAGCATTATGCTAAGTGAAATAAGCCAGTCAATGAAGGAAAAATACCACATGATCTCACTCATTCATGGATAATAGAGACCATTATAAACTTTTGAACAATAATAGATACAGAGGCAGAGCTGCCTCAAACAGATTGTCAAACTGCAGCGGGAAGGCCGGGGAGGGTTGGGGGGCAGGAGGTAGGGGGGTAAGAGATCAACTAAAGGACTTGTATGCATGCATATAAGCATAACCAATGGACATAAGACACTGGGGGATAGGGGAGGCTAGGGGACTGTCTAGGGCAGGGGGATAAAATGGACACATATGTAATACCCTTTGTAATACTTTAAGCAATAAATAAAAATAAAATAAAATAAAATAAAATATCCAACATTAAAGACCAAGAATCTTAAAGGCAGCAAGAGAAAAGCAATTTGTTACCTTCAAAGGAGCTCCCATAGGCTGCCAGCTGATGTCCCATCAGAAATTTTACAGATCAGCCCGGCCACAATGGCTCAGTGATTGGGCATCGACCTATGGACCAAGAAGTCATGGTTCGATTTCCAGTCAGGACACATGCCTGGGTTGCAGGTTGGATCCCCAGTGTGGGGTGTGACTCTCTCATCATTGATATTTCTATCCTTTTCTCTCCCTTCTTCTCTGAAATCAATTATATATATATATAATTTTTTTTTTAAGAAACTCTACAGAACAGAAGGGACTGACATGAAATATTCAAGGTAATGAAAGCAAAGATCTGAAACCAAGATTACTATATCCAGCAAGGCTATCATTCAAAATAGATAAATAGATGGTTAAATAAAGAGCTTCCCAGACAGAAAGGCTAAAGGAGTTTATTATCACCAAACCAGCACTGCAAGAAATGCTAAAATGCTGTAATGAGAAGGAGTAGAGAGAGATAGAAACATAGGCATAAAGAATTAAAATGGCAATAAATAAGTAACTTACAATAATAACCTTAATGTAAATGGATTAAATGTTCCAATCAAAAGATATAGGGTAGTTCAATGGATTGGAAAATATGACCCAAATATGTGATGTCTAGAAGAGACAAACCTCAGAACAAAAGACTCACACAGGATGAGAGTAAAGGGATAAAAAAATAAATGTCCATGCAAATGGAAATGAAAGAAAATCTGGGTTAGCAATACTCATATCTGATAAAATATACTTCAAAATGAAGGCCATCATAAGAGATAATAAAGGTCACTATATAATACTAAAGGGATTGATCCAACAAGAGTATATAACCCTGATAAACATATATGAACCCAATATAGGAGCACCTAAATATATTTTTTTAAAAACTTCTGTGGGGCTGAAACCGGTTTGGCTCAGTGGATAGAGCGTCGGCCTGCAGACTCCAGGGTCCCAGGTTCGATTCCAGTCAAGGGCATGTACCTGGGTTGCGGGCACATCCCCAGTGGGAGATGTGCAGGAGACAGCTGATCGATGTTTCTCTCTCATCGATGTTTCTAACTCTCTATCTCTCTCCCTTCCTCTCTGTAAAAAATCAATAAAAATATATTTTAAAAAAAAATAAAAACTTCTGTGGGACTTGAAGGAAGAGATCGACAGCAATACAGTCATAGTAGGGATTTTATCCCTACCAGACCTGAGACCCTGAACCTAACTGTCCCCTATACCTGGGCTCCTGAGCATTAAAGAGAAAACCAACATGATATAGAAAAATGTTAGTTACATGCAAACAAGTGGTTAGAATAAGATGGAACTTGGAGACATTGTAGAAAATAGGTCTAGAAAGTACCGAAAATTAGGTACAGAGGTATAGCGGCAGATTCGGAAATTACCGAAAAATCAGTACAGTGGTCTGGTAGGGTTAACACCCCACTGACTTTACTGGATAGATCTTCCAGACAAAAAATTAACAAGGAAATAGTGACTCTAAAAGACACACTGGATCATATGGACTTAATTGACATTTATAGAACATTTCACCCCAAAGCTGCAGAATATACATTGTTCTTAAGTGCACAGGGGTCATTCTCAAAGATAGACCACATGTTAGGACACAAAAGAAGTCTTCACAAGTTCAAGAAGATTGAAATCATATCAGACATCTCCTCAGAGCACAATGGAATGAAATTAGAAATCAACTACAGTAAAAACACTCATAAACATTCAAACACATGGAGGCTAAATAGCATGTTATCAAACAATGAATGGGTTACCAATGAGAGCAAGAAAGAAATCAAGAGTGGCGGCGGCGACATGGAACTGCTCCGCACCATCGCGGTGCCGCCGGCGGGCGCCAAGGGCGGCGAGCAGCCGGGCCGGGCGGGGGGGGGCGGGGGGGCGCGAAGCGCAGGCGGCCGTCCCCCGCCGAGGACCCGGAGCCGCCGCCCCGCAGCCCCGCCACCACGCGGGCGCCGAGGTGTCCCGGGTCGTCGTGGACCCCACGACGGGGCGGCGCTATTGCCGCGGCCGGGTGCTGGGCAAGGGCGGCTTCGCCAAATGTTACGAGATGACGGATTTGACCAACAACAAAGTCTACGCGGCCAAGATCATCCCGCACAGCCGGGTGGCCAAGCCCCACCAGCGGGAGAAGATCGACAAGGAGATCGAGCTGCACCGGCTCCTGCACCACAAGCACGTCGTCCAGTTCCACCACCACTTCGAGGACCAGGAGAACATCTGCATCCTGCTCGAGTACTGCAGCCGGCGGTCCATGGCTCACATCCTGAAAGCGAGGAAGGTGCTGACGGAGCCCGAAGTCCGATACTACCTCTGGCAGATGGTGTCGGGGCTGAAGTACCTTCACGAGCAGGAAATCCTGCACCAGGACCTCAAACTCGGGAACTTTTTTATTAACGAGGCCATGGAGCTGAAAGTCGGGGACTTCGGTTTGGCAGCCAGGCTGGAGCCCTTGGAGCACCAAAGGAGAACAATATGTGGTACCCCAAACTATCTCTCCCCCGAAGTCCTCAACAAGCAAGGGCACGGCTGTGAGTCGGACATCTGGGCGTTGGGCTGTGTAATGTACACGATGCTGCTCGGAAGGTCCCCGTTTGAAACCACGAACCTGAAGGAAACGTACAGGTGCATCCGAGAAGCCAGGTACACCATGCCGTCCTCCTCGCTGGCCCCTGCTAAGCACTTGATAGCGAGCATGTTGTCCAAAAACCCCGAGGACCGGCCCCGTTTGGATGACATCGTTCGCCATGAGTTCTTTGTGCAGGGCTTCACTCCCGACAGGCTCTCCTCCAGCTGCTGCCACACGGCCCCCGATTTCCACCTGTCCAGCCCCGCAAAGAATTTCTTTAGGAAAGCCGCTGCTGCTCTTTTTGGTGGCAAAAAAGACAAAGCAAGATACATTGACACACACAATAGAGCATCTAAAGAAGATGAAGACATTTACAAGCTCAGGAACGATTTGAAAAAGACTTCAATAACGCAGCAACCCAGCAAACACAGGACAGACGAGGAGCTCCAGCCGCCTCCCGCCACAGTGGCCGGGTTGGGAATGGCTGTGGTGAAAAACAGGCAGCAGGTGGGGGACGTGATTCGGATGATTGTCTGAGGGACCCTTGGCAGCTGCAGCAGCAGCAGTGAGTGCCTGGAGGACAGCACCATGGAGAGTGTGGCGGGCACGGTGGCCAGAGTCCTCCACGGGTGCCTGGAGAACATGCCGGAAGCCGACTGCATTCCCAGGGAGCAGCTGAGCACCTCCTTCCAGTGGGTCACCAAGTGGGTCGATTACTCCAACAAGTACGGCTTCGGGTACCAGCTCTCCGACCACACGGTGGGCGTCCTCTTCAACAACGGGGCCCACATGAGCATCCTTCCAGACAAGAGGACCGTCCACTACTACGCGGAGCTCGTCCAGTGCTCTGTCTTCACAGCGACAGCCGCCCCTGAGCAGTTCATCAGCCAAGTGACGGTGCTGAAGTACTTCTCCCACTACATGGAGGAGAACCTGATGGATGGTGGAGACCTGCCCAGCGTCACTGACACCCGGCGGCCTCGGCTCTACCTCCTTCAGTGGCTCAAGTCCGACAAGGCCTTAATGATGCTCTTCAACGACGGCACCTTCCAGGTGAATTTCTACCACGACCACACGAAGGTCATCATCTGCAGCCAGGACGAGGAGTACCTGCTCACCTACATCAACGAGGACCGGCTCTCCACCACCTTCCGGCTGACCACGCTGCTGGTGTCGGGCTGCGCGCCGGAGCTGAAGCAGCGGATGGAGTACGCGCTGAACATGCTCCTGCAGAGATGCAACTAGCGACTGGGCCGAGGCCGCAGCTCCTCCCACGGAGCCATGCGGCCAGGGGAAGGTTCCGCACGTTGCGAGGCGGACAGCGGTGGTACGAAGGCCGTCCTTCTGGCTGTGGGACTGCCTGAGGATGCCGCTCTTGACCTGGACAGTCCGAGTGGGAACCCGAAGGCAGGGACCTGTTTTAAAAGGTTTTCCGGACAATTTCAGAGAAAGGTGCAGCATTATGCTAAGTGAAATAAGCCAGTCAATGAAGGAAAAATACCACATGATCTCACTCATTCATGGATAATAGAGACCATTATAAACTTTTGAACAATAACAGATACAGAGGCAGAGCTGCCTCAAACAGATTGTCAAACTGCAGCGGGAAGGCCGGGAGGGTTGGGGGACAGGAGGTAGGGGGATAAGGGATCAACTAAAGGACTTGTATGCATGCATATAAGCATAACCAATGGACATAAGACACTGGGGGATAGGGGAGGCTAGGGGACTGTCTAGGGTGGGGGGAAAAAATGGACACATATGTGATACCCTTTGTAATACTTTAAGCAATAAATAAAAAATAAAAATAAAAAAAATTTAAAAAAAAGAAATCAAAAACTTCCTGGAAACAAATGAAAATGAACACACAACAACCCCAAATCTCTGGGGCACAGCAAAAGCAGTCCTGAGAGGGAAGTTCATAGCTCTACAGGCCACCTCAAAAAACAAGAAAAATTAATAATAAAGTATTTAACCCTACTACTTAAAGAATTAGTAAGAAAACAAGAAGTAAAGCCCAGAGTAAGCAGAAGAAAGGAAATATTAAAGATTAGAGCAAAAATAAGTGACATAGAGACTAAAAAGAAAGTACAAAAGATCAATGAAACCAAGAGCTGGCTCTTTGAAAATATAAACAAGATTGATGAAGCTTTAGCCAGACTCATCAAGAAACAAAGAGAGATGACCTAAATAAATAAAATCATAAAGGGAAGGAGTGAAATAACAACTGACATCACAGAAATACAAAGGATTATAAGAAAATACTATAAACAACTATATGCCAACAAGCTGGACAATGTGGGTGAAATGGACACATTCCTAGAAAAATATAATCTTCCAAAACTGAATCAGGAAGAATCAGAAAACCTGAGTAGCCAATAACAATTGATGAAATTAAAGCAATAATCAAAAAACTCCCAGCAAGAGACTAAAAATGGCGGTGGAGTAAATGGATGCTACACAGACATGCTCCCAGAACCAAACTAGAATTACAACTAAAATACAGAAAAATTTCCTGAATAATCATAAAAAGACTTGCTAGAGAGAACTCTGATAACTCAGGACCGAAAGTGGAGACCACATAAAGACTGGTAGAAGGGGCAGAAGCATAGAAAGGCTGGTGGACTCCCACAGACAGCAACCAAATTTCCAGAGAGATGTCTCAACTGTGTGTGGGGAGTTGCCACTAAGAACTCTGGGGTCTAAACCCCAAACTTGGCTCCCCAGCAGAGAGCACCAGAACTGAGAAGGGTAGCCACATAACATCTGGCTGTGATAAGCAGCAGAGTTGCTGTCTACCAGGGAGAAATGGCTGGAAATTCAGGCACCTTCTTAACGGGCCAACGCACAAAATTCCCTGTAGAGCCACCCACCTTGTGCTCCAGCAGAAGAAGGGCAAAGTGGACTGAAACTGTGTGAGCAGAAACCAAGCTCAGGGGGTCTGAGGTTAGAGCTCAGGAGGCAGACACCCTGGTTTCCTGTCCTGAGTCATTCCTTCATGCTGTGGAGGTCATCTTTCTCACAAAGACATTTGTTATACAGGTGACCTTGCCTGGAGGGAAGACAGTTGACCCACCCTCTTGGAAAACATCTTATCCTGCAGTGCAGAGTTTCTCAGGCCCATTAAGAAACTAAGAATAACAATTAGCCTACAGGCAGAAGCAATTGCCCGACCCTGTTAAAACAAACTTTTGCCACAGCTGTGAACAATTGCCTGAGGGTAATTCAAGACAAAATCCTATTATTCTGTAGACAGAGGCGGTCTCTGGAGACTTTGAGTCTTTGCCTGATCTAATTAGGCAGAAACAGCATTTGATACTGTCCTGCACTAGAGATTGAGAGGTATAGCAGATCTATCTAATACATAGTCACAAACCATAGTCAGAAAGCCAAAAGGAAGAGATAAAGAAACAACCCTCAAATGGAAGAACTAGAGAATTCTCCAGAAGAAGAGATAAATGAAATGGAGATAAGAAATTTATCTGATATAGAGTTCAGACTAATGATGGTAAAGATGTTCAACAGCATGCGAAAAGATATAGTAACTATGAAAGTAGAAATAAAGAATGACATAGCACAAATAAAGAACACAATCTATAATAGCTAAGATTTGGAAACAGCCTAAGTGCCCATCAGTAGATGAGTGGATTAAAAAACTGTGCTTACCTCTATACCATGGAATACTATACTGCTGTAAAAGAAAGAACTCTTACCATTCCCAACAGCATGGATGGACCATTATGCTAAGCAAAATAAGTCAGTTGGAGAAAGATAAGTATCACATGAGCTCACTCATTTGTGGAATATAATGAACAACATAAACTGATGAACAAAAATAGATCCAGAGACATAGAAGCATCGAACAGACCGTTAATCCTCAGAGGGAAGGCAGGGGAGGGTGGGAGGAGGAGGGATAAGAGATCAACCAAAGGACTTGTAGGCATGCATATAAACATAACCAATGGACACAGACAGTAGAAGGGTGAGGGCAAGTGCCGGGAGGTGGGAGCAGCCAGGAAGAAGTCAATGCAGGGAAAAGGAGACATATAATACTTTCACAAACAAAGAAAATTTTTAAATGCCCTGGCTGGTTTGGCTCAGTGGATAGAGCATCGACCCTAGGACTGAAGGGTCCCTGGTTCGATTCCCGTCAAGGGCATGTACCTTGAATGCCTGTTCCCTGGCTCTGGTCAGGGTGCGTGCAGGAAGAAACCAATCAATGTGTCTTCCTCACATCGATGTTTGCCTCTGTCTCTCCTTCTTTCCACTCTTTCTAAAAAATCAATGGAAAAATATCCTCAGGTGAGGATTAACAAACAAACAAAAAAGAATTAAACAAAAAAAAAGACAACCTGGCACTCGCACAAGAACTGGCATATACTGTAGACCAATGGAACAGAAGAGAGAACCAAGAAATCGACCCGAGCCATTACGCTCTATTAATATTTGACAAAGGAGGCAAGAGCATGCAATGGGATCAAGACAGTCTCTTCAATAAATGATGTTGGGAAAATTGGACAGATACATGCAAAAAATGAAAGTAGACCACCAACTTACACCATACACAAATGTAAGATGTGAAACCATAAAAATCTTATAAGAAACCACACACAGCAAAATCTCAGACATCTCCCGAAGCAATATGTTTACCAATACATCTCCCAAGATGATGGAAACTAAGGAGAAAATAAACAAATGGACCACATCAAAATAAAAGGCTTCTGTACAACAAAAGAAACCATCAACAAAACAACAAGAAAGCCCACTGCATGGGAGAACATAATTGCCAATGATATATCCAACTAGGGGTTAATCTCCAAACTTTACAGGGAACTCATACAACTTAACAAAAGGAAGACAAACAATCCAATCAAAAAATGGGCAAAGACCTAAATAGACACTTTAAAAAGCAGAAAGCCAAAAGACATATGAAAAAATGCTCAAAGTCACTAATCATCAGAGAGATGCAAATAAAAATGACAATGAGCCTAGCCCAGTGGTCGGCAAACTACGGCTCACAAGCCACATGCAGCTCTTTGGCCCCTTCAGTGTGGCCACGAAGTTTCAATCGCACTGTACGTGTGCGCCCACACATGGCATTTTGTGGAAGAGCCATACTCAAGGGGCTGAAGTTTGCCGACCACTGGCCTAGCCTGTTTGGCTCAGTGGATACAGCCTCGGCCTGTGGATTGAAGGGTCCCAGGTTCAATTCTGGCCAAGGGCACATACCCAGGTTGCAGGCTTAATCCCCAGTGTGGGGCCTGCAGGAGGCAGCCAATCAATGATTCTCTCTCATCATTGATGTTTCTATCTCTTTCTCCTTCTCCTTTCCTCTCTGAAATAAATAAAAATATATATTTTTTAAATGACAATGATGTAACATCTCACACCTGTCAGAATGGCTATCATCAACAAATTGACAAAGGACAACTGCTTGTGAGGATGTGGAGAAAAAGGAACCCTCTTGCACTGCTGGTGGGAATGCAGACTGGTGCAGCCACTGTGGAAAACAGTATGGAGTTTCCTCAAAAAATTAAAAATGGAACTCCCGTTTGACCCAGTGATCCCACTTCTAGGAATATATCCCAAGAAACCAGAAACACCAATCAGAAAGGACATATGCATCCCTGTTAATAGCAGCGCAATTTACAATAGCTAAGATTTGGAATCAGCCTAAGTGCCCATCAGCAGGCGAGTGGATTAGAAAACTGTGGTACATCTACACGATGGAATACCATGCAGCTGTAAAAAAGAACGACATAAACTAAGAACAACATAGTTTATGTTGTTCCTTTTTACAGCTGCATAGTATTCCATGTGTAGATCCAGAGACAGACAGTCAAACCTTAGAGCAGTGGTTCTCAAAAAGGGATTGAAAATTAAACCCCAAACTTCTATATCTACCACCATTTACCCCATAGAAATCAAAATACAAGGGCCTTATGATTTCAACTCGATAACATTCTGGAAAGGACAAAACCTAGAGACAGTAAAAAGATCAGCGGTTGCCAGGGTTGGGGTGGAGTGAATAGGAAGATCTTTAGAGCAGTCTAGTGATGGATACATGATATTACCCATTTGTCAAAATCCGTAAGTAAGATGTCCAACAGCAAGTGTGAGCCTGAGGGAAACTGGACCCTGGCAGCAATGGTGTGTCAGTGCAGGGCCAGGGACTGTCAGCTGGGGCGGGGGGTGATAGTGGGGAGACTGGGCATGTGGGGAAGGGGGAGGGAGTATCTAGGAAATCCCTATACCTTCTTACTTTTGTTGTGAACCTAACACTGCTCTTTAGAAAAATGAAGTCTTTTGAAAACTGTGAGGACATAG